GAGTCACCCATTGGGGGAGATGGGCAGCATACAAATTTGAAAAATAAATAAATAAATAAATTCTTTGCCAAAGGGCAGTCTCAGAGGTGTGCTTGTCTCCTGTGCGTGTTGAACATTTTTATCTTGCTCTGGAGGCCATAGGTTGCTTCGAATAGTGTTGATTCAAGGGAGTTATCCAAAACTGACAACCTCATTTTACAAAGACCAGGAACTCCAGTTGAATTTGCTATATCTTCTCATTCTGATGAAATGCTAAGCAATGGTTTCTCTACACTAGTGTTTCTTAAAGGGTGGTCTGATGACCCCTGGGGGGCCCCCAAGACCATCTCAGGGATCTGCAAAATCAAAATTATTTACCAGATATGGAAGATGTTTGCAAAAATTTAAAACAATGCCACTCTTCTCATTATTATTTTTTATTTGTTAAAAAATAGAGTTTTTAATGAAAAATATTTTATTTATGTTAATGTTATTTTTACATGATTCAATAAATAAATATTCTACAAACATATGAATTTTAATTTTCACTATGGTAAATATTGATAAATATAACCCATACAAACAAAAGCTCTTTTGGGGTTCTCCATAATTTTTAAAACCGGGAAGGGGTCCTAAGAACAAAAAATGTAAGAAACACTGCTCTGCACCAGAAGACTTATTCAATGAGCCACAATTTCTCCAGCAATGACTTGTTGAATAAACCACATCTGATCTCTCTTGCTTTTTCCCAGGTTCCTGTTTGATCTGTGAGTCTTGTGCAAGTCCAGGTAACGACTGCACCGGTTTGAGCCACACCTGTAAAACGCCTGAAGATGCCTGTTTTACCTCTGTGGGAATAAGTTCTTTGGGTGAGTAAAGGACAGACGAGGCCCTAAGTCTTGCTTTGAACCAGCAGAGGGAGTAAGGGACCTTAGTTCCCAGAAGACTGCGTAGAACAGTCGACTGGGCAACGTTATCAATAAAACTTTTGAGCAGACCTTCCCAATATGTTGATATATTGATACATGTACTACAGGAAGTCTCCAGGTTAAGAACGCCCAGTTTACAAACAACCCATAGTTAAGAATGCAGCCTACTGTAGCAAAATTTGAGTTAAATACACAAGGATTCGAGCTAAATACACAGTGGTTCAAGTTCATTACACAGTACTACTTATATAGTATTATACAATAATACTGTTCCAGCTTACATACAATTCGACTTAAGGACAGACCTTGGGAACGGAGCTCGTTCTTAAACTGGGCACTCCCTGTACTTACTCATATATTATATATTATGTATATTATAAAACCTTATAAAACATACTGCCCACCCTTTGGAACGTCATACCCCTAGAGGTCAGATAGGCCCCAATCCTGCTGGCCTTCTGTAAGGTCTTAAAGACTGGTTCTGTCACCAAGCCTGGGGGTCTGAAGGTGGGGTTCAGCCTATGCATTGGCTATGTTAATTGTTAGGGATGGATCTGTTTTTACCCTGGCTGCTGTTTTATATGTTTTCCTTTTTTTTTGGGGGGGGGGTGTTGGTCTTTCTGTTTTTATACTTTTTAACGTTGTTAGCTGCCCAGGGTCATTAACTTGAGATGGAAGGCCATATCAATCAAATAAATAAATACTCCCCAGAATAGAATTTTTAAAAGGTTGAAATAAATAAATGTAAATAGACATTCTAATATTTTCTTCCTGCACTCCAATGGATCGACTTGCACATCCCCTTGGGCTTCATGCGCCCAATTTGGTGATGATTGATATGGAAAGGATTATAATGACATACAATATCTGTATTACAGGGGTCGGTTGGGATAGAAATTATTATATACATAAATACAGGTATGTATTTATATACATAAATACCCAAATTAGGCATGTTATTATATTATGGTGCACCACCCATGCATTTTCCTTCAAAATAGATTATAGACAGACTTAATTTTTTAAGTACCTAGAGCCCCATTATTCTGAATCTAGAAATGTTTCTAGTCTGTCTAGTTTCAGAATACTGAGCTTCGAAGGATCAGAAAAGCCAGCTGGGCTACAACAGCTTCCTTCAGTGTGGAGCCTTCTTGATACACTGAGGAACAATTTGCATTATTCCCAGTCAGGATGGTGGGAGAAATAAAAGGCAACAGGCAGTGTTCCCTGCTTCCATTCTTCTTTTCCCACTTATTGTCACCGTCTGGGTTAGCTTACAATGGAAAATCATCCACCTTCATGGTAGTTTCAGTCATTTTATCAAACAAACTTTCAACAACAACAACTAACGGTAGGTGTACCTGTCTTAACCGAACCTCTCTTGTCTGCATTTTCTTCCCCAGGGGCCGACAAAATCACTGAGACTATCAAAACCTGCATTGCTGGCAGCAACTGCCAGCCTGGACCCATCAGTGTCACCATCAACTCTGAGATCCATTTCTGGAGCACCTCCAGCTGCTGCCAAGATGACCTGTGCAACAGCAAAAAGTTAGATTGTAAGGAACCATCTGTTCCTCTCCCCAAGCAAAGCTCCAAAGTTGATATTCCCAGTCCCCAAAATATTCACTGGGATTGTTTAGCTCCATGCATTTCTTTGTGCCTAATTTGGCACATGGAGTCTGAGCAGCCAACATGTCCAACCCTGCTCAAAATTTAAGTATTTTTTTTAAATTAATTTTACAAGGTTTATAAGCCCTTTCAATCAAAGCTGACTCTGAGCGGCATACAAGTACCATCTTTGTAAATGCAGAATAAAACAGGCCATTGACAAAAGAAATAAAGCCATCTCAATCTAGCAATTCATAGGGAAAAAAATGTAAAAACCAGGAATGTAACACTCCATAGGCCAAAATTCAAACGGCATTCCTCAACATTTCTAACATTCCAGTCATGGTTTATGGACTTTCTAAAAATCGAGGGGAAAGGTCCTATTTGAATACCCAGGGGGAAGTTCCCCTTTTCAAACTGAACATCAGGTTGACTGATGAACAGCAAGCCGGTCCAGGTGGCAGGAAGACCATGGAGAAGTGTTTTGATGCATTCAAAGGACCTCCCTCTTAATGAACTCACTATGAAGGAGGCTGGGAAATTCTACCTGCAGTTTCCAGGATTCTGTATTTATCCTTGACTAGCATTCAAAGTACCTTACTGAAATCTGTAGGAGTCTGGTAGCACCTTTGCAGCTCCATGAAAGCTTCACTGGTTCCTAGCAGCTTGCTGGATGGTTATGTTAAGGCTTATTTGCTAGGTTTTCTCATGCCTCTTCTTGTTTGTCAGACCAAAGCCTGTTTGAGGCCCTAGTAAACCACCTTGCAAGGTTATTTAGCTGAAGGTGATTAAGACATTCCAGTCTTACCTCAGCTACAGTTCCTTCTCTTTCTGTCAAGGAGAGATTACCTTTGCCTGCTCCCCACAAGCAATAAAGCTGTAATTGATGGTGCACCATCAGTTGAAATTGAAATAATCCACTATGTACTTTTGGACCAGTCAGGAATAAAATGGCGTCCCCCAGTATGATTGCCCAAGCCTGATTGGAAGTAGTGGCTCATTCAGAATCCCAGTAGGACAGTGGCTTTCCCTATACTTCTATGGGACTTGTGTAGCAGGTATGATCATAAGTATGCCCAGTGCAGTAAATCCTACAGGGATACAACCTCCAGCCTGTCTGCAAATGCTTTGATTTATGTACTATGGCGTATAATTGAGGGCTGCTGAACTAAGGCTTCTGTATGGCATAATCTTTGTAGTGCCACCTGTGAATACCACCCCCAATGGGCTGACCTGCTCAGCTTGCTTTAACATTGGTTTTGATCAGTGCGAAATGGTGGACTCTCTGAACTGCACAGGAGAAGACAATCATTGCATAACCACATCTGGAACCTTGAGCATTGGTAAGTATCATTTGCCTAATAGAGCTCATTTGTGCAAACACCTAGATGGCATCAGCAATTAATTTTATTCCCATAAAATATTATCCCCCCCCTGCCCCGGCAAGGTTTCTAAGGGTTCCTGCATGCTGCAAGTGTTCATGGGTTCATGCATTTGTACTAAATGATACTTTGTTTAATTAAGAGTTACTGAATAAATCACTACTGGTTTAATGCAGACAATATGCTAAGCCATAAGCGGTGATATACAAACCACAGTAGCTAGGTTTGCTCAACAAGCTTAGCAAAAACCAAACAAACTACATTTGTTTTATTGATTGTATGTATTTAATTTGGATGCTGACCAACTCCAACAAACTCTGGTCAGCTCACAACAATACAGAAATGTAAAAAACAACAAAATACAACTGGTTTGGTTTTTGTTTGGTTTTTTGGGGCCTTCAAGTCAGTGTTGAGCCCTGGCAAGTACCTGCACTAGTCCCTGCAGTTTTCTTGGCAGGATTTCGGAAGTGGTTTGCTATTGCCTGCTTCCTAGGGCTGAGAGAGAGGGACTGGCTCAAGGTCACCCAGCTAGTCTTGTGCTGAAGGCAAGACTAGAACTCACTGTCTCCTGGTTTCTAGCCTGGTGCCTTAACCACTACAAAATAATTACAGTACGAGACGGGAGTTCAAATAATAAAGCAAACATAAAACATCATAAACAGGGCAGTCCCATTCACCCTAGCCACAGGCTTGGGAAAACAGCCAGGTCTTCCAGGATGTCATCAGGATGGTAGCCGTAAGCATCTCAGGGGGAACCTCATTCCAGAGGACAGGTGCCACTATAGAGAAGGCATGCTTCCTGTGTCCCAAAAGATGACTTTGTTTAATTGAGGGGGCCCAGAGCATGCCCATACTGCTTTCTGATTGTTCTGGACAGGCAGAAACCAGGGAAGGCAGGTGGTCCCTCAAATAGCCCTGCCCTATGCCATATAGGGCTTTCTAGGTAATACCCTTGAATTACACCCGGAAGCAGACTGGCAACCAGTGCAGCTCACAGAGCAGAGGCATGACATGGGCATGCCAATTCAAGCCTATCACTGCTTGTGCCACTGCATTCTGGACAGTTGAAGCTTCTGAATGGTCTTCGAGAGCAGCCCCATATAGAACACCTTGCAACAGTCAAGTCATGAAGTGAGAAGGGCATGAGTGACTGTCTGGGCTGACCAATCCAAGAAGAGGTACAACCGGTGCACCAGATGGAGCTGTGCAAAGGCTTCCTTGGCCACAGCTGCCACTTGCTCTTCAAGCAAGAGCTGTAAGCCCAAGAGAACCCCCAAGTTCCACACCACTCCTGACTAAGGAAGTGCAACCCCATCCAGGGAGTAAAGATAGAAAATTCCTAGATCTGGGCAGTCCCAACAGCCACGGCTACTCAGTCTTGGTAGGACTGAGCTGGACTCAGATTCTCCCCATCCATACCTGCACA